TGGATCCGAGGATCCGTCTATTTAAACTCCATACTTGGGCCCGATCCGAATTTTCGGATTGAATCCGGATCCTTGAAAATATCCGTCAGATCCGATCCGTGCGGAACACTAATCAGGATGCATCGGAGTAGGCCGGAATTAAGCAATAATAATAACTAGCATCTGGACAATTTTACTTAACCCGTGGATTGCTAGATTACTGGTGTTATACTCGAATTTTCTTTTGGTTTGTTTCATATTTTTATTATCGATATTCTATTTATTTATTTTTTATGTATCTCTTATTTTGGAAGGGATTGTTGTGGGACAGTTGGGGTAATAACCCTCAATGATGTAGTTTCGGTTTATGAAGAGAATGATTGTTAACGATTGTTGACAGTATTTGGTATTGTTATGATAATCTTATGTATTGATTTATGTTAATAAAGAGAAACCTTAACCTGTAATTATGTGTTAGTTTATCAATTTAAACCCTTTAATCTTAATCACTATTTGTTCATAATCGAAGCTAAATTGGTTCAAGACCCTATAAAGCTCTCCCACCGGTCGTAACACTGGTAAATTTATACTAACGACCCTTAATCAGTGCACAAATGCATACCATCTGCATGCTGGATAAAAAGAAAGATTACTATAACGTACTTATACGTAGAAATTTGTACTTAAGTTCTTATAAACCGAGTTTAGTATCTTTTCCATGTCTAATGCTCACTACAATAGAGCCAATCCATTTAGCTGGCTGAGTCAAAGCTAAGCTAAATTGCGTCTATAATTATTGTTATCGTTATAGAATATTTATAGTCAGGAGCAGTGTTAAATCATCCGAAATTTTTTTTTTAGTTCTTTGAGAACATAAATTGATAACTTTATGTTCTTATAAACATTTTAATGTTCTTAATGATAAAATAAAATAAAATAAAAAAAAGATAAAAAAAATAAAAGAGAAATTATATATTTTCTATATATCATATAAGAACATAAATTATAAATTTTATGTTCTTAGTTGGTTCTCAAAAGAGAACATAGTTTTTAAATATAATGTTCTCGAATTTTTTTAAATGTTCTTGAGAACACTGAGAACATTAGATATCTAACACTGGTCAGGAGCGTAGCGGAGGACTTACAGTACAGTGGATAACATGTACGAACTTACATTTACGTAACAACCACAATCGCTTCTTATAGAGAATATGTACATACTGTATTTTCACGTAATAACCATTTCAAGATGTTCATTTTTAAACCATGGCCTAATCTAAATGTAGATGTCCTCCCTTTTCTATTGAATAGTGTCCACATATCTTAAATAAATTTGATGCTTGATACGTAGCACATTTTTTCTTGCGGTGAGATGTCAATTTATAATGACGTATCCGAAAAGCGGCCAGAAAAATCGACAGTTCATCAGATATTACTCAGATAGTCAATAATGTTACCCAATTGTATTTAGATGATAACAAGTCACAAGTTTTTTTCACGCGACTTTTTTAATGAAATAATTAAAGAAATGCGTAATCTGTATAATGAAGAAAGATTGAAAATCCGAGATCCCAATTTAATTCTTGATACTTTAGACCGAATTTCTAATAATCCTCCAATTCAAAACTAATTCTCGCAAATTGTTATTTTTATGGTAAATGGGCTGAAAAGGATGAAAGTAAGGCATTCATTTATTATCAAAAATCTGCAGAGACCTGTTATATTAATGGAATTGTAGTTAATGGGGATGAAAATATACATTCACTTATTATCAAATATCTGCAGAAATGGGAGAACAAATAATATTGGATATTGTTATCTTTATGGAATTGGAGTTAAAAAAGGCATTCGTTTATTATCGAAAATCTGCAGAGATGGAGAACATATATGGTTGGAAGTTTTTATAAAGAAGGAATTGGAGTTGAAAAGATGAAAATAATGCATTCATTTATTATCCAAAATCTGCAGAGATGGGAATGCTAGTGTAATGTCAAAAGTTGCAGAATATTATCGAAATGGTATTGGAATAACAAGAAATCTTGATAAAGCAAATACTGGTATCAAAGGTAAATTTGAGTTTAAATTTGTGCTAGAATATTACAACCCAATCATAAGATCAGATGTAATGAAAATCAAAATCATATTAATTTCGAGTCAAGAATATTTCTAAGCGATTATGACCTAAAATTTTTTAAAAAAGTGATTTCATAAGAAAGATTACGAGTTATAAACAGTTTTTAAGACAAAAGATCGTTTACACTTGATCTTATTACTCGATTGGTCGTACACGTCTCCAAAGTGACATTACACTTATTAAATATATATCAGTATATATAATATAAACTTATTTTAATAACTTCATGCATTTAAATCATGATTAGGGAAAAGATTTAACATTAGGTATTGTACTGTAACATAATTTATTATTTATTTATTGACTAAACTTTATAAATAATTAACAGATACAAATGAGTGGATACATAATTCTGAAATTAAAGATGATTTGAAAAAATTATTGATAAAAATAGATATTAGTTATCATGGATTTCTTTTGATGAATTTGAAGATATTCGAGAGATAAGAAAGATGGATTTGCAACTGTATATTATGCCGGTTGGCTTGATAAAAGCTAAAATGTAGCAGAAATGTTGCGCTAAAATTACTTCATAGATCAAAGAATTAGCATGAATTTATAAGAGAGGTAATTTCGACTAATTATTTTAATAATTATTATTCATAATTTATCATTATATTAATAATTTGAACGTATATCTCACTTTAATAATAAATTAAAAGCATATTGCGATTTAGGCCTCAAAGACCCAGCTTTTTTAAAATATCCAATAAAATTCTTTAGAATATTTGATATTATCCAAATATTTAAATGTCCAATATTATGACATACTATCCCTGCTAATCACTAAAATAAATAAAATTTTTAGTTTACAATGTCAAAGAAAAATTTTTAAATAGTTAAAAAAAAGTTTAGAACTTATTACAAAAATTTTAACCTGAATTATCTTTTTTGCACTAGTTTATTACTGTGATCTATCAAAGACATCCAAAATCGCAGATTTGAACTAATAGAGTAGGATAATGAAATGTCTATGACCTCAAACACAATTGTTTTTGGAATGCCATTTTATATTGAAACTTGAATGTCTTATCGATCTCAAATACAAACCTCAGTAATGAGAAATCTGACATCTATAACTTTGGATTAATTCTTTGGGAAATTTTAAGTGGGAGATCACCATGGCACTCTGCTACCACATAAGGAACCTATAGAAGGTCTATATAAAGTACACCAACACAATATATTTAATTTACGAAAATGTTGGGACATCGATCCTGTTAACCGATCAAAAATATAATTATTTCTTAATATATTTAAACTAACTTATTCCTAACGAAATAATTTTGAGTTGACATAATCCTATTGAAACATTTCTCAAAATTAGAGACGGCATCTTATCCCTATATAGAAAACTAGAAAACTAATATATGGTTAGTCAAAAATCAAATTTTAATACATGTTAGTCTTATTAAAAGAGTATTATAAGGAAGCATTCTCTTGACTTTTTTTTTTCGTCAGGACAACATTAACGCATTCATCAATTCTTGAAATTACAATATCATAACCACTTTTATCTATCTGATACGATCCATTTAAATACTTCAACACAAGGCAACAGTATTCTTGAGAATTGAGAAAGGAAACGAAAGATGTTTTAATAACGCAAATTTCTCAAATCATTAAAACTTTTCGAAAATTCTCGGAACAACCATCGTAGCCCCAAAAAATGCATCAACATGGGACCTTTCTTATAGTAGGTATGGAACAAAATAAATAAGTTTAAATATATAACAAATATTACTAATTATGAGCTCCAATAATTCGAACCTCCTGTTTATTAGTGTGAGCATCCTTGATATATAAAGAAAAACACTCGACTTCATTAATATAGTATTAAAATAGAATACAGTATTAGATATTCCTACCGGGCGTTCCTCATTAGAAATGGATCATTTTTAGTACGTACCAATTTATTCATTCATTTATTTGGAGAAATGATTTTAAGTTGCTGTAATATTTGCATGACTAGTTATTATTAAGAGCAATAATTTTGGCAGTATTCCCATCTTTTATAAGTCCAGAACAAATACAGTAATTAAAAACTCGTTATGTTACACGAAGACAAAACTCAACGTTTTTGAAGTTTGTACGTATCGGTATTAAACAAGTCACTTTGTATCGGTATAGAAATAGAAAATACGTTACGCCCTGGGCAATAAAACCGATCTATGAAACTAACCAATAATAGACTTTCTTCATTAAGATTTCAACTTGATCTTTATTGGCAAATTATTTCCATATAAGGGGATTCGAAACGCCGAGTCATTGTTAAAGTGCATACCACATTATGTATTTATTAGAATTCTCTTGATAATTTTCGTAGAAAAAAAAATGCCAGAAACTTATTTTTTGAGCAGCAAGATGGCTCGCGAATTGCTTATAATATTATTGAACCACATAACCCGGAAGATATTAAAAAAACACCTCTAGTATTAATCATGGGTTGGTAAATATCTGCATTTAAAATAAGATTATACTTGTAATTTTTAAATTAACATATGATAATATATGATAATTAAAGTTTGGGCACTAAAGAATTATTTATGAGTCTGAAAGAAGGTAATTGATATCTTCATTGTAAATGGCACAGATGAAAAGTTTTGGTCATACTAAAAAAGGCAGAAACTATATCTATATATTGTAGATTGCTGTTTTAAAATTGGTTAATGCCAGTTAAACCAATTTATTTTTATGATTTAGTAAAACCAACATTTTCATCAAAGTTTACTATGCATAAAAAAGTAACTAACTTAATCAATTAACATTAGAATTAGCCAAAAATCAAAAAGGTTTGCTACATTTTATTTTATTATAGAATTTATTATTATTTTGACTAACATTTCGAATTATTCAATCATTAGTGATTATATTTGATAATCGTGGAATGGGTGAATCAAGCGTTGTTTCTCAATTTGATCCTATTTCAATTGATTTGATAGCGCAAGATACAATCGCATTGGTCAAGTATCTCGGAATCAAACAGTTTAATTTGTTAGGATGGTCTATGGGAGGTAATATCAAAATTTTAAATATATAATTTCTAAATAAATAATTTTTGTATAAACTAATTTTTATGTATAGGCCTTATTGCAGTTCATGTCGCTTCAAACATTCCATTAGATTTTGAACTCGAGAAACTTATTATTTGTGCAAGGTACACGTAATAAGTGTACAATAATATTTGAAAGTTTGCAATATTATTTGACTTACAAACTTCTTCCTCAATAAAGTCATGCTCAACCTTTAGAATCTCATTACTTTGAAACCCTTTATAATTTACCAAAGCCACCAGATCTTCCAAAAAATATTCAAGAACAAAAAGATAAATTTATGAGAACGTATGACAAGGGTTTTATTGATTATATGGTTGAACATCCAGACATATTTGATAAATATGCAGAGATACAACTTACATCCAATCTTCCATTTGAGATTTTCAGTTTGTATATTTTAACTAAGTTTTATTATGTTCAAAGTTCTTAAAATTTAGAGGAATAACAATTTTTATTTATTTTTAGAACGACAATGGGAAACGATTAAAGAAACAAATATTTTATCAAAATCAAAAACAATTAAGGTTCCAACTTTGCTAATTTATGGTGAAGCTGATAAAGTTGTTCCGATTAAAGAAGGTGAACTTCTTGCTCGTGAAATTCCTAACAACAAATTTATTTCATTTCCTAAAGGTGGACATACGTAAGCATAATTTCAAAATAATGTTAATACTTTTTTTCAATTAGTTTAAAAAATTTTTACTGATTATTATTCATAATATTTTTGTTTATTAAAAAAGGTTTTGGTTTGGTGCACCGGAATCTATAGCTTTTATAAATGAGTTTTTATCTAATTAAAATTATAAAGTTTTTATTAAAAATACTTGTCATAACAAGCAAGATAAATATATTATGTATTACTTTATAACTTTTTAGATACTAGTCGCTAAGACAAAGCACAGATTGTGGATAATAAATACACTCTCCATAATTTTATCTATTTTATCTATTTTTTGATCTTTGCTAAAGTGTAGTGATTCTAATATATGAAATAATTCGGATTTATAATATTAGACATTTTTGTCTGAGCATAAAAATAAAAATAATTTTAAAAACATGCCATTTTTATTACACAATTTATGATAAATTTTTGATTTTATCACCTAAAAAAGAAATTACAAAATAAACAGCAATTATTCTTAATATAATATCCTTGTGCATATGTATAATAATTCGTAGCTACGAGCTGTTACTTTTACAGTAATATATTTTTTTTAACAGTAGTTTTATACGCATATGAATTACTTATATGTTAAACGTTTGAAATTTTAAATCATACGATCTGATATTGTAACAAATAAATATACCTTTCTACCAAAGTTAATAAATTTTTTGTTACGTGATCACTTATTAATCAATTGATAAAATCAAAATTTCAATAAATTACCTGTAAAACTAAACTTATCTACCATATTTTTTTGATTTCAGTTCTCTTAACTGCTGCAAAACATTAACCTAAATTTGAAATTTATTTGTATTTATGATCATGTCATTTAGATATGTATATGACAGAGTAAGAAAGTCTGTGGCTATTCACTATAATTTTTAATTTGAAGATAATGATTAAATTTATAATCAAGCTAAGTATTTCTTTTTATTTGTAATATTTATAACAAATACAATAGCATTAGAGAATGCTTCTTTTGTTGTAAGTGTGAATATTATTTTCATGAATGAACATCACGGAACTTTGCTTATGCTGGGATGAACAAATCAGACAAATTTAGCCCCAATCGTCAATCTGAAAATAGTTTAAAAAATTTACGTTAAAAAATTTAGTTTTTATTTGCCATGCTTTTGTGTAGATTGCTGAGCGGCGTCAACTACCTGATTATGTATTTTAGGACTCGCAATCATTATTCTTCTGTTAGCTTCAATTTTTTCCTAAAATAAAATCCAAAGGTTATTATCCATATCCGGAACGTATCTCCTGTTCCTTAACAAGATATCCAGGTGCACGATCCTAATTGAAGAAGATATACATTCGGAGGCAGCTTTATTTCTAGCAACAGTGCAATGTTTACACATATTATCCATACGAAGAGGACCCAAATTCATGATGCAATTTTTGCACTATCTTCTTGTGAAGATTTTTCAGGCCTCAAAGTGTTCACAAAATAAAGCTTCCGATGGGGATTAAATGTCCGTCCGTCACATGAATTTGCGTTTCTTTCAGTTTGAAGAGAACTTACGCTAGTAGCACTTATGATTCAATGGGAAACATAATTGTAAAGCATAAAATAATATAACTTTATCTGAAAAGTGCCTTTTAATTTAACCACAATAATTAAAAACCTTTTCTCCTTCAGGAGCTTTATAATTCGCTGAAAGGTTTGGACATCCTATAACACTAAGATGAACATCACCATCAATAATCAATGAAATTCCCACTGCAAAATATCCTCGTCGAATAAAGCCCTTTGTTCCATCCACCGGATCAACAGTCCACATTACTAATGCAAATTATTTAAATACAAACAATAAAAAAAAGAATGATGAAATTGATCATAGTATCAACTTCCATGGTTACGGCACGGCTCTCCGAAAGTCATTTCCCCGACACCGTAATGCCGACATGCTACTTCATCTATAGCCCATTTTTTTGATAAGAAAGGCATACGTTTGACATTATATTTTTTTCGACAATAATTTTCTTAGACAAGACTTTTCCCCGACAATCATTTCCCGATATATGATTCTAACCAACACTAACTCTAAATCAGGCCAACCCTAATGTTAAATCGGGCCAATTTTATGTCGAAGAAATGACTGTCGGGTCTAAGAAAAGTATTGTTGAAAAACATAATATGTGTCTTATCGAAAAAATGTGCTGTGGATGAAATAGCATGTCGGCATTGCGGTATCGGAGAAATGAGTTGGCGGATAAATAATTTTCGGGAATTGAGCAACAACACTTCTATGTGGGCCGCCGGAGTAAGTTCCTCTGTCAATAACGTCTAATAGCTATCATTTAAATTAGCCAATTTAGAATATTATGGTAAATTTATGCAAAGCAGACCACTATACAACGTATTATTGTATCTAGAGATGTTGGTAAAATTAATTTCACCAATTTCACCAATAGTAATGAAATTATTTCACCACTCTAATTTTATTTCACTAGCATTTTTAATTGTATCAACCTCACCTACCCTTTCAATCATTTTATTCGCATTAATTTAGTATGTGAGTATAAGATCATCTGTGTTCTTTCGCAACAAAACTATATAAAATATATACTGTATATTGTCTTGCTGTGAAAGAACCTATTTATTAATCGGAGGAATAAAATCAGCAAACCAAGTTCACAATTTATCATTCAAGGGAGTGTCTAACATAGAGTTAGTCAATGTTAAAATTTTATCTCTCAATTCTTTTTCTTCTTCGCTATCCCCTTGTAATTTTTTCGAGTCTTCTTCAACTACCGAATCATTTATGTAATATTGAGTTTATTATAACTTGTGCATTAAAATCAGCAACTTTATAAGTTTGAAATGAAAACATTAATTAATTGCCAAAAGTATCCTTCGTCTCAAGGTTAATAAAAACGTTTTAACAAATTTTACTAGCATGTAAAACTGACCAATTGCAACAGCTCGTTCGGTGATAAAAGCTATTACATGTCACTCTCGATATAACGTAGTACCTTGGGCACATAGTGAGTAATTTCTTAAAATATTCTTTGTCGTGAGTTTATTAGTAAATCCATTATATCAAGTGGTATTTATTATGATGTGGATCTGAAACTTGATCCATTATATCAAGATTTTACTTAGTCTCCGTTATATCAAGAGTCCGTTATACAGTATCAAGAGTCCGTCATATCGAGAGTGACGTGTATAGTGTAAGAGAATTTAAATATTTCTTAATTTTTCATGTTTGATAAAGATGCTGTAAACACGATTTAAACTTATAATATACCTGAAATAATGTAATTAAGGTATTTGAAAGAAAATATCATGGGAAACTTCATCAAACGCAATATATGTTAATTTGATAGTCGCATTTACTATATGCTTTATTTTATTTTTTTTAGTTGTAAATAGTTATCATCTATATTTAATTATCTGGATGGAGATAACTATATAATATAAACAAAAAAACAAATTTATTGAACTGCGCAGCTTATGTAAAATTCATTGAGTCGACGTAAAATCTACAAGTCGAAAAGGGACAATGTATCTTCGTGAAGTTATGACAGGAACAGGGCCGAATTCGTACAATCAAACTCAGGACCGGATTTACTGACCTAATAAGGACCGCCACGAGAATAACAATAAAGGCAAATTCATAAGAAAACGCTAATAAGAACCCGTAAATTTTAGATATAAACAATTTAAAATTTCAAGTATTTTAAATTCAAGAGAATTTATATCTAAAATTTCCATAGTATCTTGTTTTTTAATAAAGATTTTATACATACTTGTAACTCATTTAACTTCTAAGCAGTGTTTAAAATTAGTGTTCTCAGGATTCTCAAGAATATACAATTTTTTTTAAAGAACATTGATATTTAAAATAAGGATCTCTTATTTGAGAATATTTTATTACTTTAAAATGTTCTCAATAAATTAATATAATTCAATATAATAAACTAGTGCTCTGAAAGAGTCATTTTGGCTGAGTTAAAGTCAAACCGGTTGTATTTTGATATCTATGGATTTTATTATGTACTATATAATTAAATTATTTAAAAATTATTTTATAAAATTAAATGATGCACTCAAGTTGGTGTAAAGAGTCTTATATTTGTGTTTTTAATTTAGGTTATCTGAATTAATTCAACATTTTAGAATAATATTAAAATTTTTTTGAAAGTTTAAATTAAGTTTTTTTGAGAACATAATTTTAAATTTAATTTTAAACACTATTTCTAAGACATACAGTACATGACTAGTTTTTTATTGGATATTGATGCCGTGATCTAGAGCCCTATAAGAAAAGTGGTCCGGTTATGGCTCGGGTTTGTTTCGGAAATGCACGAAATGTAGGCTTAATTACATGATGGCACGGACGAGCGGTGGCACGTTTTGTCACGTCATACGGAATCGCACGTATTGATTGATACGTGTATGTACGTGTTTCAAGAGCAAGGATCAGTAAATGATTTTTTTAAAAAAATGCATTATCTCAAAATTTCACCAATAAAATTGTTCTGGATATCTTAATGAAAAAAAATTTTATACATATGCAATTACTTTAATTTTTAAATACGTACTATATTGTGATTATTGATATAAATTTATGTTTTAGTATGTATATTTGCTATTATAACGGTGCGTGAATTTACATACATCCGTACCAAAACACGTGCCAATTCGAGCCTCTTACGTACAATATCTGTGCCTGATCCATACAACCGAATCTGCCCCAACCCGCACAATTACGATACATTTTTCTTATATGAGAGACATAAATTTATGTAGCTTAATGCGATTTTATTTCTAATCGTTTTTAGATTAATCGGATTACAAATTTATGTTCTTGTTATGATCGAAAAGTTGACATATTCACTAAGTAAAGTAATGGAATCATAATCATGCATCATTGATAGTGATACGGGTTGATGAAAAAATCATGGGCCGGGGTCGATCCTAAAAAAGCTCGGGCCGGTCGATCGGGCCGAACTTTGTAAATTTTTCTAATAAGAATTAATCTCGATATCTATATCAAATGTGTAGATAGACATCAGGTAGTTCCTTGCCAAATTCTAATCATTTAGTTTTTATTCTTTTTGTATTTAATTACAATGCGTTATATTTTATGTTGATTAATTGTCTATGCACCCGAACATGTCAGGCATTTCCATTTTTTATACGTACGTATTAGTTATTTGCTAATTTTCACCTAAATTAGCCAACTAATGAGTGTCACGTTTTTATAAATGATTGGTTGATTTTCAGCCAATTTTTTAGCCAGTAGATGAGAATCGATTCTAGCACTCCTTTTATCAGCCCACAAGGGTGCAGGCTGAGGGTCGACCCGCACATCGGCCCAGCCGTTGGGCCGGGGCCAGCCCGTATCACTAATAACTGAAGATGTGTAATTTAACTTAAAATTTTTCTAGTTTAAATTAAATTTTATCTAAAATTTTATTAAATTTAATAATCTAAAATTTATATAAAATTTGTCAAAATTTATTTAAAATTTATTAAATCCAAACTAAATTTAGTCTAAATTTTTTTGTTATTATCTAATCAATTTTTAAAACCGAAATTTTACGGGTCCTTAATGCTAATACAGTTTCATATAAAAATTCTTTCATCTCTACTAGGGTTGGTTTGGCCTGTCCAGTCGCTCTCAGTCCAAATAAGACCGGTCCCAAATATCTCTAGGTACGGTCCAATCTGTCTCTGATCTCAAAGATTAACTATTTTCACGTAGTGTTAGCGGCAAAATCGATACTCCAAAAAAAAAAAAAAAAAAAAAAAAAAAACTGAATCACGCATTCGGGACGTAGCTTGCCCCAAATGGAATTAGACGTGGCAAAGCCCTAAAAAAAAGTCCTAATTAAGATATTGCCACATCGGCCTCCGGGAGAGGACCCTGGCTGAATAATGGCAAAATTGTGGCTGAATTGAGGCTGTAAGCTCCCAAGACCAAGGTAAATCGGGAAATCGGTAAAATTAAGTCCGTGGAAGGCCCACCCTTCCATGCAAGAATAACCAAGCACGGCTGAAAAAGGGAAGATGTTCTAGAGATCGTTCACCAGTATGGGGCAAAGCGGGAAAAGGATGTGGCAGTGTTAGGATGCCACTGAACCTACCATGGGGAAAAGATGTAGTGAAGGAGTGTGATAACGTTATAATTCTAGAGTAAAGGGCGAGACTCAGAATTCTATAGTTTTCTTTAGTTTTTTTCTTCCATTGTTTTTTTGTATAAATAGAGTAGCGTTCTGCTACAGTTGTAAGGGCATTGAAGCTTGCCTTCAAGAAAATAAAAAGATACAATTCAAATAAAACTGATACATTTTGCATACCAAAAGTCATTCATTTATTCTTAAAAACCATACTTCATAAACTAACTTGCCTTACTTTCGCCAAATATTTATCACCACCTCGATCTTTGGTTTTGTTGTGTGGTTGTTTTGGTTTTGTGTTGTTTGATTGGTTTCTTGACCCGCTTCGCTTCCTCCTTTGGCCTTCAACAATTGTGGTGGTGAATGTAAGATCCTACAGCTATTAATCTCAACTTTACCAAATAAAAAGTGTTTTCTTTTAAAATCATTAGAATTTTAATAAAAATCAAATTATGGTAATGGAGCAACAACAAAGAGCAGAAACAGACGTTTTATCTGACAACAATGAAAATAGGATCGTTGACATCGCCCCTCGTGATGCAGAGCACCCAGGGCATAACTCCCCCAATAGCAACCGTAGTCGCACCCTGGTGGATAATCCACCAGTATACCGGGTTGTTAATGATAACCAGAATGTGCCACCTGCCCCGGAGCCATTGCATGCAATATTGCGAGAAATCGCAAATGTGTTTAGGGACACCTCCGTTGGTGTTGTTGATGCTGCCCACCCCCATTACAAGAAACCAACCTGGTACGTGTCGAGCCTTTTCATAGTGAAGAGGACAAAGACCCCCTTAAATGGGTGGAGGCCTTCGAAAGGGCTTCAGATACCAACAATTGGTCCCCCAAAAGGAAAGTAAAAATAGCCTCTGGCTATTTACGGGGAGTTGCTGCCAATTGGTACGATGAAGTCAAATGAAATATTCTATTGGGACAATGGTAATGAACGTAATAGAAGTTTTGTCTTCCATTTCCAACAATATTTCGCCACCCTGGAACACCGCCACCAATGGCAAGCTGATCTTAATGCAATAACACAGCATGATATTGAGCGGGTAGATGCCTACGCTTATAATTTCAAGAGGTTGTTGCGCTGGTGGACCTGGAAAGTCGTTTACCGCAACCATACGTTGTGCGTATGTTTCTGGGCGGTTTGAAGCCAAAAATAGCCTCTTGGCTAAGTGTGGCTGACCCTTGAAATTTGGATGAAGCTGTAATTGGAGCCCGCAAAATTGAAGCAGGCAGATATTATAGTGAAAGAAGTGTGGCTCAAAATCGCAACTCCCGGTATGATGAGGACCTAAACCATCTGACTCAACAAATGCAAACTATGTCGACGAACTATGAAAAGCTTGTTTCGACCCTAGCAACAAGAATTGAAGCCACTGAAACAAAACCCCATTACAACAACAACCGTGGAGGACAAAATAACAATAATAATGCCTCGCGGTTGACTTGTTATAATTGCAAAGAACCCGGACATATCGCCCGAGTCTGTATGTCTGAAAGGATCCTTATACAAGCTGTACGCAAAGAAACTCACCCAAAATCTCCCAGGTCCCAGCCCAAAACTAACGTGTTGATTTGAACAACCCGCCTATACAAATATTACAGCAAACCTGCAATGTAAACCTTTGTGACCTTGATGATACCGGTTACTTACCAGAAGCAGAAATTGCATTTGCACTCTCTGCTTTGTGTCACCAGCTGTATATGACGCAGAGGACCCATCGAAATATAAAAAAATCAGAAAGTAAGGCTAAGGAAAAGTTGAGAACCAACCCACCTGCAGTTAACATTCCTGTGTTACCTCCGAATAATGGTTTGGCCCCAACTGACCCTTTACAAACCTGGAAAATTCTCCACCACTGTCCCCAGCGAAAGAAAGGCCTATCGACGGTTGACCAATTGGAACTGTACAATGTGGCCTAGGACATTTTGGATATGAAAGCAAATGTCACTGTTAGACAAATGCTGCAATATCCGAACCAGAAACGTAATCTGGCCCAGGCCCTAAAAGTGATAGAGCCGGTTGTACCGCTTGAGATGGAAATGAACGTGGTACAACACCAAACAATGAAAAAACTACCACCGCCCGCTGCTATATACGGATTAAGAATAATCCAGTAGTTGCCGTTTTGGACTCCAGGGCTACTATGTGCCTAATGTCGAAAAAAATGATAATGAAATTGGGGTTGAAAATTGATGAGCCTTCTACCACCGTGGTAGTAACAGCAAATAGAACCTGTGAATGAGCGTTGGGAAAAATTAACAACCTCAAAGTAGCGATTCGAGACATGTTAATCCCCATTATGTTTTAGGTAATCGAGTCGACCAATGATCTCTTGCTACTAAGTATGGAGTTGTTTGCGAAAGCCTGGACACAGTTGCATTTTGCTGAAAAACGACTCTATTTTATGTATAGCAGGAAAACCAGTGAGGTACCGATATTTACCGACAGAGGTCCCCCGGTCGAGCCTGTTGTCGAAATTCCTCTGAGTGAGGACCCGTTTGACGAGTTTGAGTACGAAGATGAGGCCTTGGATGAGGCTGAAGGTTATTACATGGAAGAAGCCCTCGAAGATGAGCTCTACGAGAACCCATGGAAAAATTACCAGCACTACCCTGCATATATGGTAAACATTGAGGAATTACCAACTCGGGACCCAGACCTCGAAATTGCCACCCCGTGGAGGAAAGATTGGAGAAAAGTTTAAGGGATGTTCCCTTAGACCTGATAGGAAAAGAAAAGGCCTTCACATTGCTGCTTGCAGAAAAAACCATTTTTGCTAGTAGCGTAAGTGATCTTGGCCAAACAAACCTGGTGACCCATGAAATAGACACCTGTACGGCCTCCCTATTAAACAAGCACCATATCGCGCCACTCCAAGTGTACGAGTCTTTATCAAGATGGAAATAGCTCAGTTAAAGGCAAAAGGTTTAATAAGAGACTCAAAAAGTCCCTAGGCGTCCCCCGTTATGGTTGTCCCCAAAAAGGGTAGGAAACTGCATATGTGCATTGACTATCGAAAAGTAAACACAGTTACAAAAAAGGATGCATTCCCCCTTCCCCGAATAGATGATCTTCTCAAGGTTTTCGTTCATGCTGCCGGGTTTTCTTCTTTAGATTTGCTGTCCGGACACTGACAAGTGAGCATTAACGAGAAGAACTGGGAAAAAACTGCCTTCGCAGTCCCATTTGGCACCTATAAGTTTGTAGTTATGCCATTCGGCCTATGTAACTCTTCTGCCACCTTCCAGCAGATTATGAATTATGTGTTGGCTGATTTTATCGAAAAATTTGTCGTAGTCTATCTCGACGATATCATAATTTTCCCACCACCTTCAAGAAGCATCTGAAGAATATAGCAACCGTTTTTGCTAGATTAAAAGCCGTGAAGCTAAAAGTAAATCTAGATAAGTGTTTTTTCTTTTGGCCCCATCTACAATTTTTGGGGCATATTGTTGGATGGGACGGAGTCCGCCCGATTATGGAAAAATAGAAAAGGTCTGGAAGTTCTTCACCCCCATAAATCTGTGACAATTGCGTGGGTTTATAGAACTTTGTCCTATTATCAGAAGTTTATTCCGAATTTTGTCTCGATTGCCTGCCCTCTACATCAACTTTTAAAGAAAAACCACCAATTTGAGTGGAAACAAGAGCAAGAGGATGTGTTTAATCGATTAAAGAACCAATTAACAGATGCACCTGTGCTCCGATACTCCGACTTTGACAAATCCTTCATCATATATGCTAATGCTTCTAGAACTAGTTTGGGCGCCGTGTTGGCCCAGAAAGATGATCTTGGAAAAGAATATATGGTGGCCTATGCCAGCCGTGCACTAACAAAGGCTAAAAAAAAACTACAGTATTACCAAACTTGAGTGTCTCGCCATTGTGTGGGCTATTGAATATTTTTGCCATTATTTTGGCTTGGACCTCTTTTTCGTTATCACTGATCATGCAGCGCTAAAGTGGCTGCAAACTTCGGCATTAACTGGCCGTAGAGCTCGCTAGGTACTGCGGTTGCAGCTATATTATTTTAAGATTATACACCATCGTGGTCGAAAGCACAACAATGCAGATGCATTGTTAAGAATTCCTGAACCAGCCGTAATGCTGGAGGCTCCTAAAGAAAAATTCGAGTCCCAACCAATGATAGTGGATGAGTGTCAGTAACATCCACTAACAAAAAAAAATAAATAATAATATAAAAAAAAAAAAAAATCTGGTCTAATTAAAAATCCAGACCAGGTTATTAGTGTCCTGGCTTCCCTAATAATTCTTTTTTTTTTCCTGTTAACAACTGTTAGAAATTAAATAAGTTCTTTACTTCTTTAACTGTAGACACAGCATAGTCAATTTTCTTTTTAATTCCAAATAAATAAATAAACCAAAAAAAAAAAAATATAATAATAATAAAAAATATATATATATATATAAATAATAATAATAATAATTCTATACCCTACGGATCCCGTATACTACCGGCAGTATCTCAACACGAAATATTTGCCGCCTACTCTAGATGAAAAACAAAGGTAGAAGTTAGCCAAAAAATCGGAATTCTACGAGGCCCACAAAGGTCTTTTGTATAAGAAAGACTGTCGAAAAAAAGAAAACTTGCTCCAGGTCCTACAAAGATACGAGGTCGACCCAGTCTTGTTCTTGGTATATATGCATCTGATAGGCAGCTATTTCAATAAGGATGTGATATTTGGAAAGATCCAGGACACATACTTTTGGCCCCAGATGTACCAGGACATACGAAAGTAGGTTCAAACATGTGATGCATGCCAAAAGAGGACCTGACCCCTATTCCCATTTTGGCCCCATTTTTCAAAATTGGGTTAGATTTTGTAGGTCCCCTCCCCGCACATCTCGATTGAATCGATATATTTTGGTTGCCACAGATTATATGACCCGTTGGTCTAAGGCCCGTGCAGTGGAAAAAGCCAATACCCAGACTGTGGCTGAATTCATATTTAATGACATTGTGTGCTGCCATGGATGCCCCGATTGTATATAATCCAACCATGGTACTCACTTTCGCAACGATGTCATTAAGCTTCTCCTAGAAAAAATGAAGATGAAGCAGCATTTTTCCACCCCATACCACCCTCGTACAAATGGTCTTGTCGAGAGGTTTAATAAAACCCTATGTGAGGCCATAGGTAAGTTGGTTAAAAACGTTGTCGATTGGGATTTGTTGGTCCTCTCGATTCTCTTTGCATATTGTATGGCCCAAAACTCTACCACCCATATGACTCCATTCTTCTTGTGTATGGCCGTGAGGCCAGACAACCAGCCCACCTCAGCCACTCAGAGACATTATTGGAGGATATGATACTCCAAAGAATGTTTGAACTGGTACATGAGGTACCTATTGCCTGGAATCAAGCAGTGGAAAAGATAAAACAAAAACAAAAGGCTGTAAAAATCTACCATAACCAGAAACATCGAATCAGTGTTGGGTTCAAAATTGGAGAAAAAGTCCTCTTGGAGAATGCGAAAAAGAAGTACTCCAGGAGTCATAAATTCGCCCCAAAATGTCTGGGCCCCTACTATGTGCATGATAAACTCTCCAACGACTTCTATAAGCTAAGGACGTTGGAAGAAAAAGTGATCTTGGCCCCCTTCAACCTAAGTTTGCTTAAGAAATATCATGAAAGAGGAAACTCCGAAGGTGAAGCAAATGAAGCCCCATAATAAGAGGGTTGTGCATTAATCAAACCCAATTTGGGTAGATCGATTGGTACCTTGTATCACCAGAGTATAATAGTAAGCTCAGTTTTTCACGAGGCGTAAAAAACTAAGTAGGGTGAATTGTTAGCAGCAAAATTGATACTCCAAAAAAAAAAAAAAAACTGAATCACACGTTCGGGACGTAGCTTGCCCCAAATGGAATTAGACATGGCAAAGCCCTAAAAAAAGTCCTAATTAAGATATTGCCATATCAGCCTCCGGGAGAGGACCCTGGCTGAATAATGGCAAAATTGTGGCAGAATTGAGGCTGTAAGCTCCCAAAACCAAGATAAATTGGAAAATCGGTAAAATTAAATCTGTGGAAGGCCCATTCTTCGTGCAAGAATAACCAAGCACGGCCGAAAAAGGGAAGATGTTCTAGAGATTGTCCACCAGTATGGGGCTAAGCGGGAAAAGGATGTGGCAGTGTTAGGATGCTACTGAACCTACCATGGAGAAAAGATGTAGTGAAGGAGTGTGATAACGTCATAATTCCAGAGTAAAGGGCAAGACTCAGAATTCTATAGTTTTCTTTAGTTTTTTTCTTCCATTGTTTTTTTGTATAAATAGAGTAGCATTCTGCTACAGTTGTAAGGACATTGAAGCTCGCCTTCAAGAAAATAAAAAGATACAATTCAAATAAAACTGATACATTTCGCATACCAAAAGTCATTCATTTATTCTTAAAAACCATACTTCATAAACTAACTTGCCTTACCTTCACCAAATCTTTATCACCACCTCGACTTTTGGTTTTGTTGTGTGGTTGTTTTGGTTTTGTGTGGTTTGATTGGTTTCTTGACCTGCTTCACTTCCTCCTTTGGCCTTCAACAGTAGTGATTTATTAGTTTAGCTTTTATTATCGAAATAAAATTCGTGTAATAATGGTTTTAACTATTTAGATGTTTATTTAAAAGTTTACTTTAATAGCTTATTATTAAACAGCCTGAACTTGTAAAAGACTGAAACCAAAGACCATGTAACCGGTCAAAAAGACAGTCCTTAACTGGTCTTCTCAGGACCAACCCAACACTAATCTCTACGTAGCGCATGAGAATGAATTTAAACCTGATGAAAAATTTCATGTTATTTTTCATAAATATCCTACAAATAAAAAAAATTATGGTACGCAGAAAGGCTGCCTTGCCAATCAAATGTTCATGGTGAGATTAAATCATAAGTAGAGGTTAAATAATCAAGATTAGTGTGTATTATTAAATTAGAATATACATAATTTATATTGTAATAAATTTTTTTTAATCATGGAACATGTGAGTTGTTAAATGGTCCAACTCAAACCGATAGACCACCAGTCCGTCCTAGGACCGAGCCGGTCCTGTTTTTTTTTGGGGGCGGACTGAAAAGACCGTTCGCGATGTTGCACGATACATAATGCTACATTATGCGATACAAGTTGCTTAAAATTTAAAAATGCACATAGAAGTTATTATATAATTTTGATCTATATCATTTACCAACAAACACTTTATAGATACATTATTTCACTTGCAAAATTATTTTATAAACACATCCGCTATATAAATTTAAAGGTTTATTTATTGTGTTTTCAAATTCGATAGCTTCTCAATAGTGATACAAAAATCTATTCACCGTGGATATCGGTTTCGAGAGGTCACAGTGTCTTATACAGGATTGCATAATGTATAATATAACATAATGTTGCATTATGTGATGCAAGACCAAAAAAATTTGCATTCGCACATCTCTAACTACTGTATGATACTTATTAAACACTGTATAGGATGGGTGGTGCGAATGCGCTACTATCGCACTAGTTAAAACATAATAAATTATTAGATGGACTGAAATTTCTTATTTTTTCCTAAAACGTATTCATTTTATCTAAATTTATATTATACATTATCAGTGTGAGACCCTATAGCAGTGTTGTTTCTAGACCGGTCCAGTGAATTTCACTAGAACTGGAAGGATTACTGGAACTAACTAGATGAAACTGGAAGATATTAGGTTCCAGTGGTAAGTTGTCACTAGACCCTTCCAGTCATATTTTTTTTACCACTGGATTGAAGCTCCAGTGAAGTCCAGTGAAGTCCAGTGAGGTCCAGTGAAATTTAATAAGTCAAAAAAGCACATAGATAAAAAAAAACAACTTTTTTTTATTTATGTAACATGATACAGATTTGTCAATATTAAACGCATATACATAATTAATTTGTGATAGTGCAATCCTGTAATCAAAAAAATCAGACCGAAAATATTATACGCAATATCAATTAATGATCGTATATTTAACTTTTTCATGAGATATAATTTATGCACAAGCACAATTTGGTGGTCCATAATCTCAAAAATCATGGAACTGCCAAATTTTTGTACCATTACTTTGCTAGCCTTTAAATAT